GGCCTCTGCCTGTACAGAGAAAAGAGCGCTGTTTCTGGGTCATACGACTTCTGTCGGTTTTTGGCTTCGCAAAGTTTAAAGTTTGGCATTGGACATGCCCCAGTTCATTGGGTGGGGCTTGAACGAGCAATTGATGGGCTTTGGTTGAGACATATCGCCCCGTTGCAGATGATGGCACTGTCTGCAGGCCATGGTGGTCGGAACTGCCGGGCTGGATTGCTCTGCATGCTGAGCTCGGCCCCTAGACCTGAAAACACAGCATTATGGCATTCCTCCAAGTTTCGTCGTCGGTTTGTGAAAGCCGTGACCCGTGGCTTCGAGGCGAGGACCCGTACGCAAATGCTGGGAAGGCCATCGCCTCGTTCTGGACAGCCAGGACCGGGGAATGACCTGGTGCTGACTCCAGATCTCGCCGAGCTCCTTCACTTCTTGCATGTCATGTGGCATGCAATGCACTCCTCCGTGCAACCTGCAGGGAGTGGTAGGCCGTCTGTTCGTATGTCACGGCCTGACGCCGAGAGGCTGCTTTAATCGAAAAGTCAGGCGGAAGACAGATTCATGTGCATATGCATCAGAAGTGCACTTTTCAGAGGTACTTCTATCGTATGACTGAACACTTAGGGTCATTGGTCGTAAACTACCACGTGCTTATCAATGTTCCTTGCAGGATGGCCGACGGCACGGATGGTGCAGCAGGTCCTTAGACAAGTACATGTTCCGTGGTCTCTGAATGGTTTTAAACAGCAGTTCAGGAAATGCTTCCATCGGCTCCACTGATGTTCGGTGCCAGTAGGTGCTTCAACCGACCCGCAGCTGGTGAGACTGTTCTTGTTTGCCATTCGCCGCGCACCCAGCCGGAGAGGTGAATCCCGTAGAATGCCTGTGCACGGCTGGTGCAAGTGTTTGCAGCACCTGGTGAGCTTTGGGTTGGATTATGAGAGCTGCTTCGTGTGCCTCGCCAACTTTCCGCTGTAGTGGCTGGGAGGATGTTGTGAGCATCAACAACCATCCTGTCCCAAATTTGCTCCAATGACGAGCTACAGGCATGGGTATGTACACACCCAAAGAACCCAAATCGACTACTACCAGTGAGATTGCTACAGCTTCGAACTTGTGGATGCAGGGCTACAGCAGCTTTCATGTGCACAGATGCACGCCTGCATGAACAAATTCCATGTGCACGCAAACGTTTCCCGTGCTAGAAAGTTTAGTTCAGGCTCGAGCATGCCGTAGACATCGCTCTTTCTCCATGAAGCAAAACTCACATACGTGTTCAAGTTGTCACGCAGCAAGAGTACAGAGCGGGCTCCTGTTCCTGCTGCTTGCGCCGTCCAAGCCATGTCCGTGCGGGCAGCCGTGGAATCACTGAGGCATCGTGAGAGAGAGCGGGAAGCGGGGAGCTCACCATGCCCCGGGCGGGAGCTGACCGGTCCGACTGCTCCGCTGGTGTGTGTGGATGAGAGAGGCAGCGAGAAAGACAACAAAAAGGGAGAGGGGGAGGGAGAGGGTTGGCTGTCGGACGGTATGGTGACGATCACAAGTTGTGCCGACGCCGCTGCGGGGGAGATCTTCTTCGACAGACGGGAGGGGGGTCGCCCAGTGAGGGCAAGAAGCATCAAGCAATTGCCAGAGGAGCGAGCTGGTCCTTGCTATGCTTGTAGTCGTGTGGGCCCGCCCTGGGCACTGAGGCGATTTGGTGGCGACCACGATGCAATGGAGGCCGAGAGCCGAGACGAGAGGGGCCTAGCCGCCCTTGTCTTGTGGAGCCCGGCTGGCGCATTGGCGAGGCTGGACCTCACCGTGTGCGCAGCGCTCGCGCACTGCTTGCGCTGGGCGCAGCAGGAGGCATCCCGCGGTGTGACGAAGTCGCCGCACTGGCTTAGGTTTGTTGCAGGAAGGCACTGGAACTGACAGCCAATTCGACGATAAGCTGACTTGATCTCCGTCGGAGGACATTTCGTCCAAGTGAGCCCCTGCAACTCTCGACTCTTCAGTTTTCTTCTCTCGAGCTTCGAGCTTCTTGTGACTCTTGTGTTCCGGATCAAGGACATCATAGGATTTGTGGCTGTTCAGTGTTGCTGCGGAACACAGTTACAGTCGTTCCCATATGTTTAAAGCCTGTCAGCTGTATGCTTGCTCCGGAATGCATCTAGCAGCTGGCATAACAGGCTTCCTTGCTGCATGCCTGGCCGGAGTGCTGATGATGCTGGTCGGGAGTCAAGTCAACAGAGGCCCAGGGGTCATGGTTTCGCAAGCGATGTTTGTTTGTGGAGCATTTGTGTGAAGCCGCAGTTGGAGGAGCCTCATATCTTGTCGCAGCAAGGCTGACAGTGAAGTAAACGCGAGGTTTTGTTCTTGTTTCTCCGGAGGAGGAGGGTCCAATCAATGGTCTTGTCTGCTCTGCCAGGCCGAGCTGTAGAGATGATGCCTCCTGACTGCAAATCCAGCGCCCTTCGAGCCTTCGATCTCTTCGAGTCCGGCGAGAGCCACAAGGGCTTGTTGACGTACTTCTTGTCACAACCAAGCTGCCAACACGCAAGTTGTTCGCCGTGGCTTACATGCAAGCTAGAGAAAGAAGTTTCAATGCCCCCGAATGCCAGATGACAAGGTCGCCTGGAAGCGTGGTGTTGAGATTGCAGCTTGGCCAGCTAAGAAGGACGTTACCGGTCAACATATAGCGAAGAGCCTGGTTTAGTCTTTGGTTCTGCGGCTGTGCGTTGGGCATTGAAGCCTGAAATGTACCTGACCACGAGAATCTGGCACTCGTATTTGTTTTGTTTTAGTTCTTGCAATTGTCGACAACCGGTGTAAGGCCAGTGGTGCGAAAGTCGATGCCCCATCCGATCTCAGGCCAGCATGGTGTTCGGATTGATTTCTCAATATTCCGCGTTATTCTATCGATGCAGGTAGAGAATGCTTGACTGCAGCTCTGAAGTTTGGGGCGGCTTTCGAGATTGCAGAGGATCAATTTTATTTCAGGAAATTTGCGGCTTTCCAGCCGTCAGCCAAGGCGTTCCTGGATGCCAAAACCTGCAGGAGGGTTTTTGTTTGTCAACCAAAGCCGTCGTCACTTCAACATCCTTTTGAAGCCACGTCTTGAGTGCCCTGGAGGTCGGAGTCGACAACATGCCCACGACCGCTTTTGGAGAAGGCGTCATACAGCAGTTGGTAGAAAAGGAGGGTGGGCATTCAGTCGTGTTGAACCCAGATCGGCTAAGTCTTGTGACAAGCATTGCTTGGCAATGGTTTATGATGGGTTTCATAGATTCAGCCGCATCGTACATGTGTGGTGGACTGCTGCTGTATTTCGTCTGCATTACTAAAGACCGGCACTGTAGTTAATCAGACACAGCTTTGCCAGAGAGCGTCGTAGGTCGGCTGTTGCATGACTCAGGAAGCATGCAGACACAGGACAGCGTGAATGGGATGTCGATAGTTTGCCTCCACAGAGCGGAGCATCTAGAATCTAGTTTGACAACACGTGCCTGCCGGCGGGGAAAGGGAAGCGCAACGCGGCACACAGCATTGACCATGACAGCCTAGGTATGCTCATTTGGCTGAGAAGTCTCCATTTCCGGTGGAGGCAGAGTCATCACAAGCTAGTTACAGCTAGTTGTGGCGCTGCTGCACATGTGGTACAGGCGAGACATGGCAAGGTCAGAAGCAGTGCAGCATTGAATACAGAAGTCCCATGGTGTTTGCATGAGTGATCCCTGACAGATCGACATCAAGAACGAGGACGACGTGATATATTTCGGCAACATGATTGATCTCAGTGTTCTCGTGTATGTAGGCCGCACATTAGACTATACTGCGGGTGTTTCATATGCATACTATTTCGGACTTGTCCGTACGTGTTGTCTCTTTCTGATACATTCACTGGGACAAACAGGGGTGCAGCTGCCCCAGCAAAGCATTACTCCCGTTTGATTCTGCTTGTGGACAATTGAATCCAAGGTGCCGTTGGTTTGGGGACTCCAATTCAAGCCTTCAAAGTAGTTTTCGACACAGGCTGGTGCAGTGCAGCCTCACCAGCTGAAGCCCGTCGATGTTTCGTCTTCCGATTAGCTAAGACCTGCAGGCTCAGCCAATCTTTGGGTGCCGTCTTCTGAGTGCATCAACTGTGACACGACGAAGTCTGGAGCTCAGGCGGAGCAGGGAGGGTCGTAGCTGTCTTCCTGTAGCAGTGTCTGGAGTGACAGGCAACCGACGAGAGTCTGTGCCATCATCCGAGGCTTCATCGCAAGTTCGATGGTCCCAGATCATCCACCTATGAGCACTCTAACTACATTGTCAAGCTTCCTGGCATTGCATTACTTAAGCCCGCTTCTTTGTTCAAGAGCTGTCCTGTTGCAAGCAGGCATGAGTTCCAGAGAGGAAAATGATTAGAATTTCACTCGCACGTGGCCGCGACTCCCCAGATGGATCGGCCCTCTTACCAGGGTTCGAAACATGCTGGATTGTTCGGATGTCCGCCGCAACGGCTCTCGCTTGCATCGCTCTGGCTGAGAGTTACCGGGTCGGTCTGCATCGGACAGGTGTTCGGCACGGCGCTTGTTGCTACGTTTTTGGGGCAGCCTCGAGCCGGTCTGATGATTTTTCTCTAGTTTAAGTCATGCCCCGCTGTTGGATGTCTTCACTCCTTGCCATGGGCCTTCCAGTTGGCCAGCCATTGCATGCAACTTCTGTATCAATGTCAGCGTTCCAGCATGCTCTGCGAGCGAGATCACGACATTGTCTCTGAAGTCTCTAAAGGCCGAAATGGTCAAACAGAACATGTCCAGCTCTGTGATGTTTGCTGTACAGCTTGCGTCCCTGTTGCCAGGCTCACCTACGGTACAGGCCGGCCCGGCAGCATGGGAGGGTATGCCGCATGCCCGTCGTACGGGCTGCACTTGTCAGGCTCGTGCAAAGGTTTCCTGGCACGGGACCGACTGTACCTCGGGAACGTCACAGTGGAGCAGGTCCCCTTCGTCGAGGTGCTGAGTGCCCACCGCTTTGGCACTTGTAGTTCTTGCGCAGCTTGAGCCGACAGATGGCATGATGGATGTTGCGATTGCCTTTCAATTTGCACCTCATGTTCCTTATAGCACTGAGAAAGGCGGTGCAAGTGAGCTCTCCTTTCCCCAACTCTGTCACCTGGCAAGCAGTTGGGATGGGGTGCAGCGCTGTTGGGTTTCATTCTCGCACGATGTCCATAAATTATGGAGGGGTATTTTCTTTGCTTTTCTTTTGGCCTGCGGGGCGTGGGTTGGGTGGGGTGCAAGGGGGGTGCGGGGGCTGCGGGGAGCTCGCGAGGCGTGGGGGCGGCGGCCGGTCGGGGGCGGGGGTTCGAGGCTCAAGTACGTACAAGTGGGCTGCGAAGCAATATACAGGCGGAAGCAACAAACTGTACAGACATGACTTAAATTAGATTTGCTGCGATCTGTCATGCGATCATTGTATTATTCTCAATATGCAGAGTTTGGCTAATATGTTAATAGACAACTACTCTTGGTTACAAACTAAGAATGTTAGTATTTGTTTCTCTTCTGACGAACATTGTGAATCTCAGCCAGCTGAATTTCTACCCGAGCTTAATGGAAGTGCCGCTCCACATCAACCATGCTGTCTGGACCTATCCAGCATCCCAAGCGCAGTTGCCAGGCTCCTTGGCCGAGCTCGGACATCTTTTAGGCTGTGCCGACATAATTGACCCAGTGTCTGAGGCCCTGATGCTCAGCAACCATGCGAGCCTGGTTGCCGTTCAGCACTCAGTTGCAGCCTGGGTGTGTCTGTCTGTGCAACGATGTCCAAGGAAGTGGAGTACTGTCGTGCGACGACGGCGCTCGGAAGTTCCGC